ATATTCCAGGGTAAGCACATAGAGTGCTTACAATAGGAATCCAAGGTGGGGTTATCTCAACCCGTTTCACGGATGTGCACTCCGCTTCCTCAGGAGTTCAAGTTGAGGCACTATCAAATGTAGAAGACATTGGTAAAAATTTAGAGATTATAATAGGGATCCTCTAGAGGGGCTGTAATTAGGCAGGATTTCCAGATGCCATGCGAGGCTGAATACCCCTTAGTGTGGAAGTCTGTATAAAAGTAATCCCCTACTAGCCATCTCAAAAGGTATGTGTATATGAACATTATGAATAAATAGGAGATTAGCACCTCCAAGTAATGATAAAAGTGTATTATCTTCAAAATAGGTAAATTATCTACACGTGTGGAAATATGGAGAAAAATAGTACAAATGAATGTTGAAACATGTTACACTAATAATTTATTATTATCACTTTTTATAAATAATGGATTTTATTATTGTGATAATATAATCATATATATCTCACTAAATTGAGGGGGCTTTTTCAGAGTTATCCCTGAGCTCACCCATGATACTTTTTTCTCACTCAAATTTTTATTAAGTTGCAACTAAACATGTACAGGCCATACATAAACTGTGGTAACAAAAGGAACACATATCAGTGAAACAGAGATGGCTTTACAAATCATCAACTTTTTACAGGGCACATCATACATGTATTTCCAATATTATAAGGTAAACATTAACATATTAGAGAAACAAGACGACAAAAATGAAAGCAAAGTCAGGATGTGGACCATCCTGACTTTGTTTTAATTTTTGTCTTCTTGTCTTTTATGCTTGACACACCGGCGAAAAAAGGGGAGACTAGAAAACAGCACACGTCTGCATACACTTGGAAGTCCCATGTGCCCAAGGGAAGAGAAAGGCAAGGAAAACCCGTGGGAGTAAAGTACAATCAGAGTGTTGGAGCCATATACCCCATAAGTGGTGGAATCATGGTTAGGATTGATATATCATAGTGAACATGTATTCAAAGTAGGTGCTTTCATTCAAATATTTAAAAGGTGTTGGGAAAGAGGATACTGAGGTTGCTTCCAAACCATAGATACACCTCCTAGCAGGCAGTAGAGTATTTATATGTAGAGAATTCTAAGTTCAATAAGGTCAGAGGGGGCTGGGGTCTACTATGTTGCCCAATATTTAAGAAATAAAAATAACTGGTTTGTCCAGAAATCTATCACTGGTGGGCACCACCACAAATGAAATAGAGTTCCCTGTGCTCCACATCCTCTCCAACAAGCCACTCCCTGACTATTGGTCATCTTAGGGTTTTCTGGGCATATTCCCAGTGTAAAGTGCAGTGAGATGCTTGCTTTACCCATCAGCAAGCTGTGTACCATTGCACATCTGAGTAGAATCTCCCTAGCTCCTGTTCCCTTTAAAATCCTCCCCCTGCCTTTTTATCTGTCAGGTGTATGACTATTTCTTCTTTTTTCTAAAGATTTGTTACTGATTTCACTGTACAATAAAGGGAATAGGACAAGATTTGAGTAAACATTTGGGTACTCTTATGGGTAATGCTGTCATGGGGCCCATGAGTCAAAAATTATTTACAGAAGGGCCCAGGACTTCAAAATATAGATTAGTACACAATGTAGTAAACCCCCCCATGAGTACCATCAACATTGTTCAATGGGACTGGTTTTTATTCCTGTAAACAACGTATGAGATGTAAAATTGTACAGCAAAGAAAGAAAATTACTCATTTTACAGCTTATCCGAATAAAAGGGTATTTGAAATAAAATATTTAATCTCATGTAATACAATGCATGTGGTTTATGGGTTGGAGTGCCCATGTGGATACCAATAGGTGGGTAGGACCACGAAACAATTAAAGAAAATAATCCAAAAGCACATTAAAAAATATTAGAAAAGGATTAGATAAACACAACGTATCCAGGTATTTTAAGATCTATCACAATCAGGACCCTAAGAGGTTACATTTTTTGGGTATTAAAAAGTAAGAAGACATTGAAGAGGTAGCAACTTAAAAATAGATGTTTCCCAAAAGTAGACAAAGTGGATTGTCATGCTAGACACATTGCGTCCAAGAGGACTAAATATTGACATAGATATGAATTGCTTTCTTAATAATTAATAATAATGGTATTTGTTATGAGAATACATTCTGCCTTTCGTTCTCCCACTGGGGAGGGGTCATTGAGGGGAGAGTACTGTCAGGGTTTCTTACCCTGCCTTGTCCAGTTGCTTGCAGCATGGCTGAGTGTTTGTGACACTGTGGTCTCTCTCTGGCGCCCTCTAATGTCCAAACCTGCCCACATGATTACTCCACTGGCTGGACTTGTGGGTAATTCCTGTCTTACAGTAGTGATGATGCAAGCCCCAGGCCACTATTTAACCTTCATCTTGTCCATTCAGCCTCTGCCCTTGCATCTGTTCTGATCAACAAATTGTGCTGCCATTATTCCTGATTTCCATGTATGATCCTGGCATTGGCTGACTGATCTCCTGGCTCCTGACTCTGGCTTTGTTTCCGTTCATCCGGCTCTCTGTGCTCCCTGATCTGGCTTGGCTGAATACTAATTTTTGCATCTGACCCCTGGCTTGGCACCGACTTTGTCCTGGACTTTCTCCATTGTTTTTTGCCATGTATATTTATTTTTGTTTTCAGTAAACTCCTTTTATATTTTAAAACTGGACTTTATGTTTCAGTCTAGTTTCTTGGTTTCCTAACAGTTATTATGAGCCAGTTGAAAGTCCTCCATTTTTCCTTTGTATGTGGTCTATGCACTCACCAAAATAATTAATTTGGGACTGACTATGAGCAGAAAGTGTAGTGATATTTTGTTGTAGCGAAAATTGTAGAGAAATGAGCAATGTTTTAGGAGCAGGATAGTTGGGCGGAGTGTCCCCTACGTCGGCAATGGAGTCAGAGTGTGTATAAAGTTGTGTAGCTTTATAAGCAGGAGATGCAGATAGGGATGTTGATTGAGGCCTCCTAGATGAGTATTCAGCCTATGATTGTGAGGAAAATGCTTCCATTTCTTCCAAACCGTTTCTCAAGTGGGAAGATACTGGGGAGCTTTTATTGCTTGTGAAGCCACCACCATCTTGTACCTTCCCCTTCTCCATTACCATGAAGAATTCTGCCAGTTTGCAAGATTTCACCTTCCCAGACCTCCATCTGGACAAGTCTCAGGTGAGTCTTCTACATTTTTATAGTGCCTCTACTTGAAGTCCTGAGGAAGTGAAACATACATCCATGAAATGCATTGAGATAACCCCATCTTGATTGCCTATCATAACCAATCTATGGGACTTACCCTGGAGATACTTGAAATAATATGTGCTTTATAGATTAATGTGGAATTATCAGATTGGGCATAATTTAAAATGGGCTGGAGTTCTGTTGTGTGTCATACACGATTTATACTGAAAGTTGTGGATGTGGTACCCTAAATGCCAAACAACCCCTGACAGACCAATGTGTGTATTATAGGTGTATATTTTAAAAGCGTGCATGTGTATCAATTATCAAGTTTTTTCTCTACTACTGCAAGGATGAAGGTATAGAATAGCAGAAGGCAGCAGGGAATAAACAGGCCAGGGTGGTACTAATACCTAGAGAGGAAAACAACAATGCATAAGTAATAGTCAAAATTAGAAAATATTAAAGATTAGAGATGAAGGAATCAACTGGTACAAGATTCAAAAAAACACCTTTAATATTTCACTATGGAGGGAAAGGTAACCAAAAATGGAGATTTATGAAAACGTTACTTGCCCATAGTAGGGGTACCCCTGTTGTGGAAAAGCATTGCGCTGTCAACACTGGGTAGGCACATTGAGATGGTGGTCCAAATGTTAAACTCCTCTTCATCTTTATCAGGTGCTGAAAGGCTTACAGACTAGTAGCGGAATTGGGTTAGGGCTATGTTTTTGATGCCCATATGTTACAAATAATATATAAAGAAAAAAACTAGTTGTTTCTTAGCAGCAGTTTGGGTCCAGTAGTGGATTTTAAAATATTTGCTCATCCTTTGAAATGGCAAAACAGATGCTGACAGTCAGTTATCAAATCTGCTAAACATTATGGTGATGCTGCATGTTTTCTTACATTTACATCACATATTTGCTGAATTTATCAATAATAGAGCCTATCATTATTATAATTCTTTTTTAAAGTGATAGATACTATAACAGTTTAAAATATACCCTTTCTACCTTGTTTGTTATGGATTGTTCACACTTTTGTTCTGTTGATGTGATTTGATTTGCACTGAAAATTGAAAATCATACCTTTTTCCATTTATTTCACTTGGACCGTTCACATTAATTTGTTAGGCCCGCCATAAGAGATGTATTGGAAATGTAGTCATTATTTTGAATCTGTATATTTTATAAAGCATACAGAGAAGAATAATAATTGTGTATATAATTAATTACTCAAAGCAATTAAAAATCATTGCTTCACCTCTCTGATTACTTAAAATTGATAGCCAATTGGCTGCTATTGGTTCCTGCATTTTGCACATGATTTTCCTTGGTTCAGTTAGTTCCAGTTAGTTGTAGGGTAAATAAAAAGACTAGAAAATGCCAGAACTTGTAGGCCAATATCTTAATGTTGGCTAGGTGTCCACAGGTAGTGGACCCATGAAACCTAGGTTACTTCAGGTCTCAACAGATATCACTGACCGGTGTTTTGGGAAGGAGAGCATTTGTTATTGTTCCCCTAAATAAGAGCAGTGTTGCAGATGTTTGCCAGCAGTACAGATATGGTCAGATTTTGGTTTAATTTTCACAGAAAGGTGGCTGCTGTGGAATTCTGTGCTTTGCATATCAGTACAGATCTATGGTTTTCCATTGCCCAAAGCCTGAAATCTGTGGGGAGGGGGGGGGTGGTTTCTGCAGAATAGTGAGAAGTTTAAAAAACGCTAATATATACACACTTGTTTAACCCTTCCAGTGACTATATTCATGCCCTAACATAGCATGTTTCTTTTCCCCAAAGGGTACACCAGCAAGTCATGTCAGATATAAAGTAGATGTTACCCAGTTTCCATACAGTGCCAGCATATTTGATGTGGAAGAAAACACTGGTCGTGTCATAACAAGAGTCAATCTTAATGAGGATCCTAGCACTATATTCAGGGTAAGTAAATCAATTTTTTTCAATACTACAGGTGAAATTTTGAGCACCTTCACAAAATGCCAGTAATGTTACTTCCACCATGCGTTTCCCAACCTGGGCATATGTGTTGGGGATGCCTAAGATAGATTTTATCTAAGATAAGATAGACATTATTTATTAATATTTCTACTGCACCAAATGCTGGTGAGGGCTGGGTGTGGGTTAAATGCATGCACCAAGTGTTACCTCCTAGAAACCCATAAAAATGTCCAAAGTGCAATGTTTTTTTATGAGATAAGAAAACCTACTGGTGGTTTAGTTACATCATAGAAAAGTTTTTCCCTGTCACTAAGAATCAGCAACAGGGTCATGGGCAGCCTAGACTTATTGATACACATAAGGAGAGAAGGCTGGCCCATGGAGCCCAATTCAATAGAAGAGCTATTGTAGCTCAAATTGCTGAAAAGGTTAGTGCTGGTTCAAAAAGAAAGGTGTCTGAACACAGTACATAGTAGTTTATTGCATATGGTGCTGCATAGCCACAGACTGATCATGGTGCCCATGCTGACCCATGTCCACCACCAAAATGCCTACAATGGCAATGTGAGCATCAGAACTGGACCCCAAAGCAATGGAAGAAGGTAGCCTGGTCTAATGAATCATAGTTTCTTTTACATAATGTGGGTATGTGTGTGTCACTTACCTGGGGAAGAGATGGCACCAGGATACACTATGGGAAGAAGGTAAGCCAGCAGAGGCAGTGTGATGTGTTGGGCAATGTTCTGCTGTTGAACATCTGCTCATGTAGATGTTACTTTGACATATACCACCTACCTAAAGATAGTTGCTGACCAAGTACACCCCCTTCATGGAACAGGATTACCGGATGGCAATGGCCTCAACAGGATAAAATGCCTTGCCACACTGCAAAATGGTTCAATAATGGTTTGAGGAATACAACAACAAGTTTGAGGTGTTGACTTGGCCCCCAAATCTCAATCCAATTGAGCATCTGTGGGATGTGCTGGAAAAACAAGTCCAACTCTTGGGGGCTCCACCCCACAACTTACAGGACTTAAAGGATCTGCTACTGACAGTTTGATGCCAGATATCACAGTATACCTTCAGGGCTCTATTGGTGTCCATTCATTGATGGTTCAGGGCTGTTTTGGTTGCAAGAGGGGACCTACTCAATATTAGGCTGGTGGTCATAATGATATGTCTGACCAGTGTATGTATATTACTTTTCATACACCAAACATATATCAGAGTATGCTTTCCTGAAATCTCATTTATTTGCTTCAGTGCCAGTTACAACTCATTGTTCTAGTGCAGTGTGTTTGATGAGAAAATAAATATGCTTTCACATTTGCTTTTAATGGCTAAAACACCTATGTTTTTCTGCTTTCTAAATAAAATGTCAAAAGAAGTCAACATTTAAAAAAAGTAAAACTAAACATTATTTATTTTTAGATAAATAGTAACACATATAAATGTACTATACATCTACCCCCTATTGCGCCCCCCCCCCCCCTTCACACTTGCCACTTGCATTTTGTCCTTTATATGCAGAGGAAAGTCTGTCAGGCTAGATGCTGCATTTATTCTTCTAGATACTTTAACACTTTGGCTGCCACCAATTTCATACATTGCTGGCAGCAGGCCCCTTTAACCCCTTCATGACTGAGCCTTTTTTCAGTTTCTATTCGTTAATGACTGACACACTTTTTACATTTTTGCTGTGTGATGCTTCCACCACAGTAATATACTTCTCTACAAAGTATTTTATTTGTTTTACAATAAATATATAAAACACTCAAAACATACAACACTAATGATGCATATCATTATTATTTACGGGTTTTCATTTAGTATCCTTCTCCTTATGGCCTTCAACATGTGGCAACATCCACCTATTAATACTTTTACATGATGAAAACTCAGAGATATATCCCGTCCGTCTTAATGGTATAGCACCAGATCATATAAAACCACATACAAATAGACAGTAATAACAAGAACCAAAACAAAAACAACAAAAAAACAACATAGTGGGATGGGGGTAGGGGGAGGAGTCAATAATTAGATCTTCTCTCCCTTCTCACTCATCCCTCCTTACAGAATAAAAAATGACTCCTAGTAGGTTCACTCTCATCCCTCATCGCGTGCATTATCTCAGTTATTTAGCAACTACATGTTATTATATTTCATCCAAGGAGACCATATTACTTCAAATCCTTGTTCTTTATCCTGAAGTATACTATTTAGTTTCTCATGTATCATGATCCATGATATTTTAGATTTAAATTGATTACAGGAGATCTTTGGTTGCTTCCAGGCTTTGGCTATGGTGATTTTAGCCGCCAATAAAAAGAAAAATATTAGTCTATCCTGGACTTTTGATAGCCCTGGGATTGGGTAATTCAACAATATATATGGAGCTTCTCTTGGAATATGAATACTCATTACTCTGTATATAAGGGCATAAAACCTATTCCAGAAGGGTCTAAGTTTAGGGCATTGCCACCAAGTATGATACATAGTACCGGGTGCAGTGCAACCCCTAAAACATGCAATAGACGCGTCTGGACAGATTTTAGCCAACCTGGAGGGTACCAAATACCACCGGGACATTACTTTATAGTTTGCTTCCATTAGTGATATATTTAGGAGTCCTGAGAATACCCTAGTGCAGCACCTTTGCCAGGCTTCCTTAGGGATATCCATTGCTAAATCCCGTTCCCATTTTAACATATCTTTATATACCGTTATATATCTTTAGGTATATATAACGGTAAAAAGGTCTTTAATCTATTGGCAAGGATTTTAGTTAAAATTTTCAAGTCATTATTAATTAGAGATATTGGCCTATAATTTGAGACCTCCCCAGGATCCTTGTTAGGTTTGGGAATCAATGACAAGAATGCTCTATTAAGATCAATGTCTAAACACCCTCCCGATCTAAGATTATAAAAAATTTTTTCCAATCGGGGTACTAATACCTCCGAAAATGTATTGTAATAGGAAATCGGCAGGCCATCTGGCCCCCGGCGCCGAAGATAACTTTGCCTGCTTTATTACCATTTTAATGTCTGATGCTGTTATTAGTTCTTCCATCATAGCTTTATGGTCAGGAGAGAGGCTTGGTAATGTTATATTAGCCAGAAACCCGTCCACCTTATTCCCGGGTGCAGGGGTATGATTTCTATAAGTATCAAGAAAGAAGGAGTGGAATTCCATAAGTACGTTCTGTGGATTAAAGGAATATGTACCACTGGAACAGCATATTTTAGGTATTGAATATGTTTTAGGCCTAGGGGACAGTTTATTGGCCAGAAGTGTTCCGATTTTATCACCATGCGTATAAAATTGATTGCCTGACCATCTATTACTACTCTCCGCCCTTGTGTAATGACCTTTTATGTTTGGAGATGGAACTCAGCTGCAGATCTCCTTCCAACAAGGGAAATTAGCAGTCACTTCACATGGTAGTTCAATTATTGTTTTAAGTAAGGAAGGGTCAAATGGTGCTACTTGAAATGTTCACTTCACAAACAAGCAGCAAAAGTCAATTGGTTGACTGAGCAAGTAACAACCCGGGTATTTGCAATGTTCACTTCACATCACAAGTGCATATCACACAGGATTGTATGGCTAGGATAAACAGAGGTGTTTGTAATGTTCACTTTCACATCAACTAGCAAAGTCAGATAAGTTGCATAAGCAAGTAACAGCTGTGGTAATCAATACTTGCTGTTAGGAGTACACTGGTTAGCAGGTAAAAGTAATCCTGGAGTCTGTATCCTGGCTGTAGAAGCTGGTATAGCCGCAATGTAAGGATGAGAAGCACAAGAAGTCCCAGCAGGATCAGGGTCCCATGGGGACAGCCTATCATTTAGGATTGAGAGCGTGTCTGTAGGGAGCTTTGTCCAGCGCCTGCATTCATTGCAGGAACACCAGACAAGTGAACCCTTGCTGCTTAAGCTGAGGAGGAGGGCGGAGCAGCGTGATGTCGACAGACCGGGGGCGGAGCTACCCTCTGTGTCTGAGACGTCGAAGAGGCAAGCATAGCAGGTCTATTACACCTTGTGGTTAACATTAGATTCAATTCCAATCTAGTTTTATCCATAGATGGTAAGAGCTTTAGGGATGGGTTTTGTTTATGGGCTTTAGATAGTTTCTGAAGTTCTGCATCTAATTTGTTTATGCGTTTATTTGCTCGTTTTTTGAGTCTAGTGGTCAATTCAATTATTCGCCCCCGAATTGTTGCCTTGTGCGCTGCCCATACCATAGTTACCCACATGTCGGGTGTTTCATTAAAGTTAAAGTAGTCCATTAGGTGTGAATTTATTTCGGATAATGCTTCATTTCATCTCCAGCAGTGCGTTTTAGTGAAGTCCGTAAGTGTAGAAAATCCCATCACCACTATTGAGTGATCCGACCAAACTGCCTCCTTAATTTTAACATAAGAGACCAGAGGTGTGTAAGGGACTGAGATAAAAAAGTGATCTATTCGAGCATAACTTTGGTGAACTTGTGAAAAGTGCATGTAATCCTTCCCTAGGGGGTGCAGTTCCCTCCAAATATCTATTAACAAGTGCTTATTCAGTAATTTAGCAAGCCTAATGCCTGCTTTTGGGGGGTGCCTACTTCTATATCCGCCTAACCTAGTCCTATCTAGTCTATGGTCTAGAGCGAGATTGGAATCGCCCGCGCATATTACTAGTCCCTCAAAGTGCGGTGTTTAATTATATAACATTAAAACAAAAAATGGAATCTGAGCGTAATTCGGCGCATAATACGATATCAGTGAACCCATCTTATCCTCTAAATACCCCTTTACTAATAAATATCTGCCCCCTGGATCCATAATCGTCATTAAGGAGTGAAAGCTAGTCCGATTGGATATACAGATAGCTACTCCTTTGGTTTTATTTGACACATTACTCAAAAAGAACTTTGAGTAGTGGGCATTCATATATTTGGGTTGAGACCCTGCAGAGAAGTTGGTTTCCTGCAGGAACAAAGCCCCCGCCTGTATCGAGTGGTAATATTGGAAAGCCATCCTCCTTTTTAGGGGAGAGTTAAAGCCCCTGACATTATGGGATGCAAACACTATCGGTACCTTAACTGTCATCCCACTTAGTCATCATTTCCGTCAAATACTCCTAACCAGCACGCCCTACTATGGTATTTTGGGAATAAGATGAACCCTTCAAAGTCAACTAAACAACACAAACATAAGACAGAAAACAACAGTACTAAAAAACCCCACCCCAACCTACAAACATAAATAACACAACACAAATCCTGAGCCGGATCTCTCCCGGCCCACTTAATCTCTAAACATATTGACGCCATGTCAACACCGATCTAACCTTATTCCCCCGATAGTTCTAGGAACAAGGTCAGATCAGGGCACACAACTCCCCAGCCCGACCAACCTCCGCCCCAAAATAGCAATTATATATCTCATGTTATACAGCATCAGATTTTACGATCTTCTATTTACTTTATTCCACACAGGGGATATTGATCCAGATGTCATTAGGTCACCCGACCCCCTATTGCCAACATTTATTGCTTCCACTTCTCCTGACATTAAACCTAACTGCTGCAAGAGTTGTTCTCCTTCAGAATATGAGGCAATAGAGTAGGAGTCATTCCTGTAAAACATTTTTAGCCTAAGAGGAAACACCCATCTGTATTTTATTTCCTTAGATACCAATATTTGCAGCAGCGGTTTCAAGGAGCGTCTTTTTTGTATTGTTACCGGTGAAATATCTGCATAAATTTGAATGGAGTGTCCCATGATCAAGAGTTCAGAGCGTTTCCTAGCAGCCTGCATAATCAATTCCTTTATACTGTAAAAGTGTGGTTTGACTACCACATCCCTAGCCTGTCCGTCCGGCCTTTTAACCGTAAGGACTCAATGTATTCTGTCCAGCTCCAGTTTATTTTCCTCCACTCCAGGTAATAACTCTTTACAGTCGTATCCAAATCTGTCACTGTTTCAGGGAGCCCCCTGATACGAAAATTATAGCGACATGATCTGTTCTCTAAGTCATCTACCTTAGAGAGAACTTCCTCCATTTTATTCTGAATAATCCACATATCTTTCATGTTTTGATTAGTGCGTAGTATAGTTTGATCTAGTTTAGATTCCAGTGTGTCTATGCGTATACCCAGCTCTCTAATGTCCGATCTTATTTCCGTGATGATTTGCTTAGCCATCTTATTCAACCATTTCTCCAACATTTCTGAGAACTGAGTTAAAGTGGGAGATCCCCCCGTAGCATTCCCCAAGTCCGATTCCACTTCAGCAATACTGGGGCTAGAGGGATAGGAAGCTTGCTGGGACAACAGCATGTCCTCCAGAGTCCTTTCTATTAATGAAGAGGTTGAGGCAGGGGAGTGATCCCGTCTAGATTGGGTACTCACCGCTGCCCTCCCTGTGGACACCGATTCCTCCCGTCCTCCACACAATGATTTCCTGCCTTCACGAGATCCCGACGTCGCCGCCATCTTTGTCCTGCTTCCTGCGGTCTTCTGGCTCGCCCGAGACTGCCAGCGGGTTAGACATTAATGGCTGTGTGTTGAGTTATTTGGAGGAGACAACAAATGTACACTGATATTCAAGCTGTGTACTCACTACTTTACATTGTAGCAAAGTGTCATTTCTTCTGTGTCATCACATGAAATGATATAATCAAATATTTACAAAAATGTGAGGGGTGTACTCACTTCTGTGAGATACTGTATATGCACTTAGAAAAGCTTTAAATGCATATAAACATATCTAATCACACATAATGTGAATATAGCCTCAGGGCTTGTTCACACCAAATGCAGACCAGATCTGCATGAGTTTCTGCACACGCAGAGTTTAAAATGGGCTTTTGGTGCATTCCAGGGCATTTGCATGTGTTCCAGAGCGTTCCAGAGCCGGTACAATAGGGCTTGCTGCAGTTTTTTACATGCTCTGGAACTGAATGCTGCGGTGTGAACTAGAGCCCAAAATACCATTGGAATACATTGGGCGCAGTTTTGATCCGGTCTGTAACTGCTCTGCTCTGCTCCTGGAACGCGCTTGGTGTGAACAGGCCCTAAAGGGCAAATTTTGCAGTTATCATTCTCTTCCATTCCAATAGACAAGGGCCGGAAGATCTTCTTTCAAGGAACAATGTCTGTAGGGGTATTTTAGCATATTTGGGACCATAAAGTATTAAATAAATCTGCTTCTTCACCACAACCACAAAAACAATGGGAAGTGGGACACTTCAAATTTGATACTGTGCCCATTAGCATCTACAGGACTGTTCACTAAAGGGTGAAGGGTTTGGAGAAGGCAGGAGAAGTGAACAATCTAGGGCAAAATAGATGATTTGGAAAAATTCTCCAATTCAGTTCACTTTCCAGTTCAGCTATATTGTCCTAGATTGTTCACTTCTACTGCCTACTCCAAATTCTTCACCCTTTTGTGAATAGCCCTGCTAGTGTTTTAAGAGCTCTTCTCTATGCAAACTTTTAGTATATAAAAAAGGAAATAAAAATAATCCCAAGGGGGGCTTGTTCTCTACTACTACATTCTGCACCTCATGCCAGATTCATCTTTTCAAAAATAAATATGGATAAACATGGTCAAATGTAGTGCGGCTGGTTGAGAATAAATATAGAAAAAAAAGAAGTAGGTCAATCATCTACACAGAGCACTGTATCAAAATATGCACACTTGTGTAGATCTTAAAAAGACAATCTTCACAGTTCTATCTGTCTACAAGGGTTTTTAAGAAGTTGTATCACTAAACTAACATAGAAGTACTAAAAGTTGAGTTCACATATATGATTCTTTGACATTTTATCATTTCATTTTTTCCACCTTTAAAGTCACTTAAAGGTCTATAATTATGACAGTTTTTAACTAATTAACTAACTAAATAAAGAAATAAAAGAAAATCAAGGCACCTACATCCACAATGACCAGATGCTTCTGTTTGGCTGTATCCTCTGTTAGCTCTCTGCAATGCATTTTTCATTGGGGTAAAAAAAAAACAGACTACTTAGCCAGAATAGTCTGATTTATTTTTTGCTTTAAAACCTATTACAGCATATTATTGGAGAAGGTGTGTTTAATGTCTAATAAAATTTACTGTTTTTAATGATACATATAATCTGTGTTATTCTCTGTAGTTGTTTGTCATTGCTTACGATGATGGAGATCCAGTGAAGTCTAACAGTACAATGGTAATAATTACAGTTCTGCAGCCATCTGTAATTCCACGATTTACTCAAGAAGAATACAGGTAAGACAACATTTATCTTTGATTTTGTTTGCCTTTGGAATGAACAAAAAGCTAAAATGAAAGTCGAAATTCAAGTATATCTGGCTTATAAAATGATTTGCAAATGTATTATATGTGAAGCAGGAAATTCTTTTTCAGGGGTCTGAATAAAATATACTGACATCTCATTTGTTGCTAGATTACCATATTATGGGTGTCATCAATGTTCTTTCTATTGTGTTACTGTTTAAACATTAGGGCTAAGTGCTAATATAGCCCAACTTTGGATAGGATAGGGATGGGTTAGAAACCTCTACCCAAATTGTATTAATTGCCTGTGACCTTGTTTTTGAGGTATCTTATGTCTTTCTATCTAACTGATAGTGTCAGAGAGAGCTCAGTTAGGCTAAATGTAATCAATGAGAACTAGACTGCAGTAAAAACATTTTTTTTCCTAGCACAGTGGGAAACCTTCTTAAGACTTTATTGCTGTTTGTGTCCTCGTTGCGGAGATTTCCCCTCTATCAGTTGCAAGGTATACAGTACTAGACAGAACACTTTATAGATCAGAAGGCAGCATAATGTGGCTTTGGGATGGTGAGACACAAAGAACCTTTACCACACCTTATCTTACTGTAGTATTAGGAAAGATCTGTGGAAACATTCTGTACATCATTTTTGTTTTTATGCCTGTGGGAACCAACACACTTCTGGGAATTGTATATTTCTGACCCATGGGATAATTCCCCTGCTCTGTTTGCTATATGATGGAATAATTTGCATGGTAAACTGTAGGATTTAATCAACAGCCAGGATAAGCCAGTATAAATAGTGGTGGGACAAAAAGGGTTGGATGTTTCTCGCTGACTCCCCTCTGCATTGTTTCTAATTAACATCTCCTCATTTGAGAAGAGACACAGACATAAGAAATGTTATATTATGTATACTTCCTCAAATACCTATAAAACAAATTTAATACATACTGTATTTATTAATACATACTCTATATTTTATTATCTATAGTGCATAATTGAGAATTGCTCTTTCAAAGACTATTCTCAAAAAACCTTGGCACTCCAATTCGGCCCAAGGATGGGCTCCGATGCAATGCATGTTTCTCCATAACCTTCTGGATTGCATGTATAATATTTATGGGGTCACTCTAACTCAAACTTTGCCACAAATTACAAGATAAATGTAGGTACCGGGTTCTTTAAAACTGAGCCTCTAACATTTTTTCAGTGTTATTGCAGTGGTAAATGTTTACCCTTGCAGGTGTTTGTTGCAACTTGATACAGCCACCAAAGCAATGTAGCCCTCTGGCAAATTTACTACCCTGTTGTGTCTGTGCAGGCTTTCTACCTGTTCTATCCCAGTCTCAATCAGTGAACAGTGCCCTGTCATTTACCTGAGACATCAGTCTAGTTAAAATGCCTGTATGACCAGACAGGCCTAGACACATGCCCTAGCACTTGGCGCAGCAGCAACTTACACCTGCAGGCTTTTCTCTTTGTTTGCAAAAATCATACACCTTCACTGAGCTACCTTTAAATACCCTTTCTCTGCCAGACCTGGCTCTTCCAGTGTCATTTACCTAATTAACACAGTAACAAATGTAGGGGCTGCCGATGCGTGTGTGTGTATCTATATATATCTATATATATCTATATA